GATTCTTGACTGAAGAACTATTGAAATGACAATCGAGAAGACACAAAGGAGAAAAATAACTTAAGGATTACCAGAGAAGCGTCTGAACGCAAGCCGTCATGGAAACGTAATTGTTATGTTCGGCAATGTGAACATAAATAAAACCCAATCCATTATGGAGTTCAAAAAAAAGTGTTATTTGACAAGCCCTTAGAATATGCAAAAAAAAAAAGCCTGAAAGGGAATTTTTTAATTCAAACACTCTCGTTCCATGAATTAAACATTTTCAATAGAATAAAAATAAAAAAACTTCAAAATCCATATCATGATTAAATCTAATTGTACAAATAAACGTAATTCATCTCTTTTTCACTCTTAAGTAATTTACCTTCATTGATATGTAAATGCCATTGGAGATACTTACCTTTGGTTTCTGTAGTGAGTGTTCTTCGGTTTAATATGGTTATCTTTGTCTTCTCTTGATAAACCGTGGCACATTTGCTTAAAAATTGATTCGAAACCACTTAAAAGGAAATTTTCTCCGTTTTTTTTCCGTTTGAAGAACTGACAAGGTTACCAATTCGCCATTGATCGATTGATTTTCGCATAGAGCTGGTGATTTAGTTTTCGAGGACTTTCCACGACGCACAGAGGAGCTGGCTTCCCGTCCGACTCCGGATACGTCTTTTGAAATGCTGCCGCTGCCATGAGTACTCCAAACAAGCTTTGACATTGGCGAGATGCCAGTGGGAGAGAGATTTGGAGTTGTATGTAGATGGGGTTGTTGTTGAAGAAGCGAATTGGCACTGACATGATTTTCAGTCGAAAAGGACTGCCCTTTAGATGATTCGAATGGTGTTGATACTAATGTTGCTATGGTATAATCCTGTTGCTGCTGATATAGCACAGTATTATCCTTCTTATTTTTGGTCTCGTTGGTGTGGTATCCTTTCTCAAGGTATAATTCACTGTTTTTGTGCAGTATCAGGTTACCTGGATCATGGAGCGACGACGAGATTACAGTATTTTTCAAGCTTCTTTTCTTCTCACTGTGTTTCTCTGAGGTGGATGCTGAGCTGTCTACTTTAATGGAAATATTATTGGGAAAAGAGTTGGTCCCTGTGTCTTGTGCAACCGAGTTTGTCTCTTCGGCTTTACTATCCTTTGCATTTAGTATTGAGGAAACCGTTTTGTTTGGTTCCTTGTTGCTAACTTTTCTAATGCCCTGAGACTTCCTTTGTTGCATTACATACCCGTCCGGTAGAGTTGTTTTGCTGGTATCGGAAGGAGTGTAGATCGCCATTTCAGAACATGACATGTTAATCGCGTTCAGATACATGGATCCACTGAAAGATCCAGTTGATAATAGTGTGGGCGTGAAAGGCACATCGCAAGCCCGCCGTTCCTCCGTGCGGGCACGCTGAGTAGGTTCAATGACGTTATCTAAAGCAGCACGGTAGGATTCGTTGTCATTAGATGGAAAAGTCCCTTTCTCTCTACCCATATCCGGCGCTTTATGATACATGTCCAGTTTAACAGCCTCACTACCATCCTCACTATCGTCCACGACATCAAGCCTAAACCCCGCATTGATGGTTTGTAGTCGATGGTCATTATCTTTGATGGGGTTACAGGTTGAACAGACGGGCTTGCTACTGCCGTTAACACATCCTTTACTTTTTTCAGGGTTATCCAAAGGATTGTCTGCTGCTGCTAACGAAGTCTGTACTTGAGAGTGTGTGCAGGTGGATACGCCTTTGGAAAAATGAGAACTGAGTGGATTGGAGAAGCTCTCATCTGCATGTGCAGGGGAATGATGTGTCGGTGGCACGATAAGCCCCTTGTTGGCCTCACTAATAGCATCACCCATGTGCTCAGTTTTATAGGCTTGTTCAGCAATGCGCTTGACAACCGATGCCTGCGTGCTTGTGTTATATGAGACAATAAACTCATCTTCTTCCTCATCGTGCAGGATGCAATCTTGTTTAAAAAAGTTATGATCGAGGAGCTGTGAAACACTCCACCTTTCCTCTGGGTCCAGTCGAAGGCAGCATGCGATGAAATCCTGCGAGATGGGGGAAAGTGTAGTTGGGATAGGGGGTGGTCTTTGAGCGCACGCCAAGGCGTAGGCCAAACCTTGAAGCGTTATCCCTGGTGAAAAATTCCAGGGCAGCCCCGTCTCATTGGTCATCTCCAAGCACAGACAGCCAAAAGACCACACATCCGACTTTTCTGTTGCGCCCTCCCCACGGCACACCTCGGAAGCCATCCACAAGGGCGTGCCGCCTCCACCTAAAGTTGATTTACCGTTATTCAGGTCCTTACAACAGCCAAAGTCCACAATTTTGGCGCACCCATGCTCGTCAAGGAGAACGTTCGCGCCTTTTATATCTCGATGGATGATGTTGTGACTATGCAAGTGATGAAGACCAAGTAGCACCATGTAGGCGTAGCGCTGGAAGACGGATTCACGAAATGGACCAATGGATTGCCGCAGTGAGGCGATGCTGCCGCCGCTGATGTAATCCATAATAATATAGTAGTGGTGGCGACTGTACCGTGATCCGAGATAACGCACACAGTTGGCATGAGGTGGCAAGCTGCTCATTGCGGTCACCTCACGATCGATTAACTTTAGGTTTGTGGGTTCTATTTTGATTTCTTTCACAGCAGCAAGTGTGCCATCGTAGAGAATGGCTTGATAGACCGTTCCAAATCCCCCAGTACCGATCATGCGACCCCGTTGAAAAGATATCCTGTGCGGTATATCGGAAGTATCGGCAAAACTTGCTGAGGAACGCATCCCCTCGTTCTGCATGACCCTACTTAAAGTAACATTAGTTGGACTAGATTCAAAGCTTTGATTCCGCCCAAGAGGTGACTGATTCTGCTGCATAAAACGGACAGAATGGTCGCCACTAACGTTTCCCTCGTGTGTATTAGATATTTCCTTGTGAACTCTAGCGGAAGCTATAGACGCTAATGCAAAACCTATATGGGGGCTATCCTCTATCAGACCTTTCCCATGCAGAGACGTGGGTCGTTCAAGACTCGCTATGCTGCTCTCGCACTGGCGCACTGAACTTGTGGCATGTTTTTGGTCTAAATTACTGTTAGGTTTTATTTGAGAGTTGTCAAATGAGGGCGCACAGCGACCCGAATGGATCAACTCACCACGAGCACTGATGATGCCAAGATTGTCACTCGCTTTTACACGTGAACTAAGGATGGATAACATACTAACAGTGTCGCTACGCGGTTCTTCTACGGAAATTAATGGTTGAAGCTTAATTTTTTCATCATCAGATGGTAGATCGGACTCCAAAGGTGTATATTGTGACCAATTCTTTGTACAAATGGTTAACCCCTCTCCTTCTGGGTCTGTGCCTGGGGTTTGGCTACTGAGACATACCGGTATTAAATTTACCGAGGGTAGGTCAGGTTTTTTACTCAATTTAAGACTCAGAGACAACATCCTTCCCAATTCACGCAGTTTATTTTCCTCAATGCCTGAACTGGCGGCCTCAGAGTTGATATGTGATGTACCACCTGATCGTAAGTGGTAACTTTCAGAAAGAAGGGTCTGACCAAAGGCATTTCCGGACAGTGTCGAAAGCGAAGGTATTGCGTGCTCCACACTTCGGTGGTTAACGACTTTAATAGTTGAAGGAACAGAAAAGGGCACATTTTGATGCGCTGCACTTCGAGGAGATAATCTGGATGTAGAAGCCGAAAAGGGGCTTGTACGGTCGAGCATGGACAAATCTTGTTGAAATCTCTTGTCAACCGAAACTGGGGAATGTAAATTATTGCCTCCAGAAAAAGAGGAGAATAAAGACTCCTTCGGTATTATTGGAATGGCGTCATGAAGTTGTTTTTGAGATGACATCTTTCATCTATAAACTGAAATTGATAATTTTGCAATTTATATTGCAATATGTTTATAATAAAGTAGGCAATGGTACAGTGCTTTCTCGTAAGTTAGTCCAATTACTATTTATCGATCTGTAGCCCTCATAAACCAATTCAATGAAATCCACTTAAAAATATTTGTCAGCTACTTGTTCGTCACCTTCCAGTTCCACTTTATAGGTAGTTTTGAAAGCAGTGGGTTCAGTATATTTCTCTGGAAAGAATAGATTCACTACGAGGTAACAAGATAATGTAAAATAATATTCAATATAATAAAAACTGTTAAAAAAAAGTACTAAATCCAATCAAAAAAAAGGATTTTGATAAGAAAGTTAACTAAAATAAAAAATATTGTACAAGGAAAAAAGAGCAAGTAAACTATAAAATATTGTACGCTTAGCTTCAAGTTTAGATATATGTGTGAACATATAGAGCGAGAGAGAGTTGGAAAAAAGATCAGATATAAAAATGCAATTCGAAATAAAAGCCTTAGTTTTGACATGGGGAAAAAATACAAGCTTCACGTATATAAGACATTCTTTTATAATACAAAAAACAAGTGGTACCTATATTAATCAAGAAGATGCAAAATAATAAGGTGCAAACTGAAAAAAAATCTTTCATTTTAATGAGCATTCGAATGACCAAGACCTAAAGCAGGAAAAAAATATAGAATGATCTTGCATTTATATAAGGATAGTATTCAGCTATTGCAAAATTAGTTAGCTCCACTCATCAACAATACTCAAATAAATTGACTGCAGTTATCAAGATCCTCCTTGGATTTGGGGATTTAATAACTGAACCGTGTAAGGAATCATATATCGGTATCCCTCTGTCGGTATCGTATTTGGCTGAGCGTAGGGCACTCCAGTGCCACCCCACGAATTTACGTTAGGGTAAACCACCGCAGGATTAGGCAAAGCCATAGGCTGGATACCATCGGGAACGTGGCCAGTGTAATAAGGTGGATAGGTTTGGACCGGATGCATCGCCACTCCACCAGATCCCACGGTAGACGTCTGAAAGGCGGTGAACTGGGTGCTGGGCGGCATGTTAGAGGTGGGACCAACATATTGAAACAAACCGGATGTCGCTGCCGGTGCATGGGCGGTAGGTAAGTAAGGTGTAGTGGCAACCGCGCTGGGGTTTGTCGCGGCCTGGGAATTTGACGAAAGGAACCCCATTGAAGGATAAATGATTTGCTGTGGCGCCTGATTTTGCAACTTCTGCTCCTTAGCCTGAATTTCAGCTATCTCCTTAGCACGTAATCGTGCTTTAACCATCTCTTCTTGTTCCTTTAACAGTGTAACCTGCTTAGCTCTTTCGGCATTATGGTACTCCTTCTTGACGCGACGCAACACCTCCTCCTGCTCCATCACTAGTGAATTGTGCTGCTCACGATGTCTTAATTCCTCTTCGAATGCCTCTTGCTTCCGTCTCAGCGCCTGGCTTTTTTCTTGACGCGCCTGTTCAATAGCTGCGGCTTGTCGTTGATTTTCCATTTCTTTTTCGGCCTCACGTTGCTGCATGCGTTGACGCAGAAGCTCCTCTTCGGCAAGGATATGCTCATAGAACTCTTTCTTTTTCTGAGCCTCAAGGCATTTCTTTTCCTCTTCCACAGCCCTACGCTTGTCCTCTTGGTTCTTCAAACGATGCCGAATAAGTTCTTCCTCAGCTGTACAATGTTCCAACATCATACGGCGCTTTTCCTCTTTCTGCAACATTTCCGCTTCATGCGCATGCAGGAGCTGAAGATCATTTTTCTGTTCAGGCAAATCTTGGTGTAGCAGCTCCCAATTCGCCTTTTCTTTGTTATCCCCAGAAAGACGTTCGTTTTCTGCATTTTTTATACGCTGACGTAGAGACTCTTCTTTCAACTTTAGCTCCAGTAAGTGCTGATCACGACGATGACGCATCACAGCCTCTTGCTGCTCCAGTAATTCAATGGCTTTGCGTCGTAGTGCGGCCGGTGAAGGTTCCTCATGGATACCGTCATCCAGCCCAACATTGGGCACGTAGGAAGAATCTATACTATTGCCTGACATTGAAGTGAACCTTCTTCCAGCCTCGAGCTCCTGCACTAAGAGGGCTTTGGAAGCCTCCAGTGCAGCTTTTTTGGCCTCTTCCTTCATGCGGTTTTCCGCTATTTGTCGATCCACCGCTTCCAACCACTGCGGCTGTACCCCTTCGATCCACTCCAGGAACCGATTGTATACCACCACGATTTCACCACGAACAGTGGTCTCTTCTTCCTCCAGTATCGCAAGTGCCTGACGAAGGAAGGGTGGTAAATCACGGCGCTGAAGCTCAGCGAACTCTTCTATAAACGCATCGAATTCTTTTTCACGTTTCTGCATGATACCTTTACGTTTACAATACTCTCGAAAAATCAGGCTGATATACTGTTTTTCATTCTCCTGTTGAACGATGAGGTTAGTGACTAACGCATTAAAATTAGAAAGCTCCTCTGAAGTTGGTCCTGGAGGAAGTTGTATATTTACCGGAGCAAGCAACTCAAAAATATTCGATGACTCATTGCACTTTACTGGAGAGCAGTGAGAGCTATTATAGGCAACAACTTCACCTGCATCGCATTCGACACTGGTGAATTTAGAAAGTGGTGCAGCTATATTTGAAAGTCGAATGAGTGGTGCAAAATTGCGGTGAATGTCCGCCCACTCCGAGGATACTGAAACCTCCAACGAAGGGATCATTTAGAGGGAAAAATACGTCCTTGGATATAATTGCAGGGACAACAAAGTAAAGGTAAATCTATTTAGATAATTTAAAGAATGGGGAAAAAAATACAATTAATGAGGATAATTTTCTAAATAATATATAAAAATAGAAACATCATGATGATGCCTTGCATTTAAAGTATAGAAATATTAAAAAGTTTGGATTCACGCAAGGTAAGAAAAAAAAAAATTCACTGAAGTAAACCTACAAGCGTTAAGCAAATATAAGGATGAAAATTTTCCATATTTAGACTTCAAAGGTTAATGATGATTTGTATGGAATGAAAGAAAGAATTCGTCCACCATTAAAATATTTGGTCAATTTACGGAGTATGATCATCCAAAACATCAAGAATACGCAAAAATCATATTTATACTCATGTACCAATAGAGATATTTTTGTTTTTCCTTTTTTCCATATAAACAAAAAAACTAGATTCTGTGACTTTATTTTCTAAAGAGTATAACTGATGTATCATTATTAGCTGAACCAGGAAGAGAATAAAATCTAATATCAATTCTCGGAATGGAAATCAGAGGCAAATGTTTATAAGTAATGAGGTGAAGGAACCTAAAACTATCCAGGCCACAAACTACGGAAGGGAATGAAATCAAAGTAGTTTGGTGTGTCGTGTCCTGACTATGGATAAGCTGTGTCGACCGATCTTGTGCGCCGACGGTCTGATAAAATCAGCGATCCGATAGAAAAATGGATCAAAGGACTATCAAAAGATTAGCCTTATCGAGAAAATAAAGTCCATGATTGTTTTCTGCCTCCGCTCCCCAAGCATCTTGAAAGTAGTAAGCCTTAGCGTGTGCCTATGCGTCCCTATGAATCATTCTTTCCACTACACTAAAATAATAAAAAGCAAACCCTATTTAGATGCACCGAATCAGATAATAAGTCCAGATAAAACTACATTCCGTGGCTGGCCCCGATACGGGCCCCCCTCTCCCCCTCGCGTGTTGACTAGAAAGGCCTATAATGTTCATGGGGAAGGCCATGGGCTTGGGCATAGGGATGGGAGGGAGGGGGCCCCCCCGCTTGTGTGTAGCCCAGGTGTGGGGGTGCAGGGGGGGTGGGGTAGCCATAGGGCCCCGGGGTGGGGGCCGTGACACAGGGGTAGGGCTGTGCGGGGTACGACCCCCCCCCGTTCGGGCACGGGGGCCGGGGGGGGTAGGGGT